CTTTTAAAAGATGTGGCTGCTGATCTGTCTCTTCCTTCATCGCGACTTCAGTGCTTATTGCTTGTGTCGCATGTGGCATGTTCTGCAAACCGACTTTATTAAGCATGAGGATACACCAAATTTATACAGATTACTAACTTTCGGTCATCACAATAGACATCTCATTAATATTTTTAGACATAGGCCTACTACCAATCTGCTTATTGTATTGCGGGTGAAAATAATGTTCAAATAGTGCCGAATAGCCAGCATACATTATGTAAAGTCCTGTACTGTAATTGCATACAGTTTGTTGTCATCAAAAGAAAATTAACTTAAATTAAACTGTTGATTTGATTTTCTGGAGAAAAAATAATAGTTTAGATTAATCAACATTAATCGATAAAATAGTTGATAGATTAATCAATAGAAAAATAGTCTTTAGTGGCAGCCCTACTTTCACACCTCAGCTACTCGGCCCGATTTTAGTTCCTTGGAGGAAGTTCTGGAACCTTTTATTAATACCTACTCCAGACCAGGTACTTTTAGTTTGAACTACCAGGGAGGTGACTTGCTGATTGGTTGTCTACAGACACCACTGCTAACTTGGAATTTACACAGAAGTGTGGGGAATAGAAATATTAGCGGGGCAAAAATTGGACAGATGTAATTATATTTGTACTGCAGCTACATTTAAGGAATACATTTTTGCTTGCATCCTCATATTTCTATATCGGAAAATTTGATCGATAACCAATATACTTTTGCCAAATATTGCCTCTGCTGTCAAACTTGCCAGCGCTTATTAGCAGAGTATGTTCCACTGTCATTTATTCTGTGAAACCAAGAGATCGATCTGCCAGCTTGATTTAATAATGAAATATAAACATGTTGTGGGTTGTATAAATAAAATATAAATAAACGACTTTGTCCCATTTTTATTGCAATGCCACCCCCCTCCAATAACTAACAACTTAACAAAACAACTTGTTCATTCTCCATTGTTTTGGGGTGGCAGTGTAGTTTTGCATTATGTGTGAAGTTTAACCTACAAACTTTCTGTGTGTCCAATTTTTATGCAGCATAAAGGTTCCTGCTCTGTTGTGCATTGTGAAAGCGACGCACATATTGGCCAGGAGCTCCAAAAGTCCCTGGCTGAGACAACCCAGGAACTTATAACCAGGGACCAGGTTCCGGACCTTCGGTGTGAAAGCGCCTAAAGAGATTTAATTGTTCTACTGGTGTGGTAATTGACAGACACACCGAGTTAGGGGCTAGGACAGGGAAGGAGGAGGTGTCTCACCGCAGGGGGGCTCGATGGGGACAGGTTTTGCGGTTTGCGGTTCCAGGAAGGGACCAGTTCTCTGTAAATTGTTGCGGATTTTGTGCGATCGTCTGTTATCAAAATGGGCACTTGGTAAAATTTGCAGGGGTGATTTCCCCTTAGTAAATTTTGCAGTGGGCCCCCTGCTGTGATTGGCCTGGGGGCAGTTGCCCCTCTGCCCCTCATCACATCCACTAGTAGGAGGAGAACCCAGGGCACTGCCCTTTTTATTTGCCAGGTTTGGGGGCGCTGCCTATTCTGTACTCTTACAGGTGGGGAAGGCAGGGTCACCTTGATTTTGCTGAAATTATCTTCAGTCCATTTGTGTGGTAAAGTTGCCTTATAAAATCCAGAATCCTTTTTAATTATCCTCCTAAAGCAGCAGCGCACTTACAGCATAAACGCTGACGCATCATGTACTCGTCACACGGCCATGACCCGTCTGTCCGAACGCAAGGCCTGCTGCAGGAGGCCTGTCTTTTACGGGAGACTCTGCCTTTTTGCTCCCTTGGCACTGTTTCAGATCTTTGTCATACAGAGGGAAGATTAAGTGTCCAATCAACCTTCAAAAGAGGGCCAGTTATTCAGCCCCTGACTGTCTCCAGGGTCTTTACACAAAATTACATCTAAGTTGGAGAGCCATGACCTGAAAGTCCAGCTGCAGCTTTCACTCTCGTGCCGTCTTACACTGCCCTCATCACAGCTCCTCATAATCTGTAATAAAAAACCATGTTTCTTCGTGTCAGCCCCTCCGATGCAGGATGACCCCGTCCTTATGTGCCACTCAGTCCGTCCGTCTATCCCTCCTTCACAAACACTGACCAAAATCCCTGCCAGCACAAAAAAAAGCAACTCTGACAAACAATGGCTTGTCTCGCCACCACCAAACCCTGCCTGCTTACATACAATCAGCTTCTAGAAGCTTCTATCCCTTGTAAACCTCCAAAACAGCTACTGGATCGCTTATTAGAGTGTTCGGGTGCCAATTTTTCAACATTTTACCTTTTCAGCTCAGCTGTTTGTGATGTTTCTTTCCTGTACTTAAAGTATTTTAAGAATATACATTATGATTTATATTGTTATTAACCTTAATCGCACTGTATTTGCAATTTGATTTTGTTTAGCTCTGTAGTATCTTGCCCAGAACTGTGTGAATGGAGACATCTGACAAATATAAAGATTACTCTGCAACAAGAGTAATTCCCTCTCTGTGTTCCAGTTTTAATTTAACAAATTAATGGTAAAAGATTAATACCTCTGCACTGTAAGGTCATACACTGTTATTTGAGATACCTGGTTTGTGTTAATCATTTCATAAAGCAGTGTTTTGATTCATATTTTTTTCCCAGAAACGTGCTTTATTTTAATGAGCTTCCTAAGATGGAAGATGATAGCTAAATGGGCACACACACGCACACACACACATACACACACCCATGAGTTTTTCCCAACCTTGATCTCCAGACGAACATGCTATCGCTGATGCTGAGTGTTGTGTGTGCTGTGTTAATGTGCGAATGAGGGCCTGTGAAGACTGAGCTGAATCTTTTGTTTGCAGGTGGAATTGGGTAGAAAGAACCCCCCCCCACACACACATACCTCCTACAGACAGTTGCCTGTGTCAGTGACCCCCCTAACAGACAGAATATTCATTTGAGCATTTCCTGTTTTGTCTTTTAGTCTTCTAGCTTGCCTGGGAAGTCCTGCCTGGCTCGTGGAGGGATATCTAATGGGAAAACCTACAAGGCATTGTAGATGTTTGAACAGACCTGGCCCTCCAGCACAATGGCTCAAGTGCACTATGAAGCCAATTCCACCCCCCACACTTCTGCCAAAAAAGACACCTGAAGAAAGACTGGGGTATGTGTGGAACCAGGCTGATTGCACAGGGGACATTACTGACATCTCTTACAATCATCTCTCGCGCTTTCTCTTCTCTTCCACGCGACACTTCATCTCGGAATTCCGGCTCAGAACACCGGGAGAAATTTAAGCAAATCTGCGGAGAGGACCGGAGATAGAGAATGAGCAGGCTTCCATCTCCAGAGACGAATGTGAATTTATCCAGTTCAACTGAGCGCAGACACACTATTATTCCCTCGTTCTACATTTGACAAAAATGGCCTGTTTGTATTTCTGCTGACATTTTCCGGTGGGGTAGCCTTGGCCCAGTTCACACAGGATCATCCGATAGAGTTGGCAAATATTGAGAATACACAGTAAATATCCAGAGTTGTATGTTAGTGTGGACACCCTAAAGGGGGGGGGGGTGTCATGCAGTGCATGACAGACTAATGTCCAGGTCAGATAAGTGTGGGGGGCTCCACAGTGCACATGTGCTTGAACAGACCTGAAGGGCCACACACCAGATCTGCCATCAACCCCATTCTTAGAACCGTCTGTGAGAAGTGCATTTCCTGGCCCCCCATGCACCAAGGTCTCGAGCAGCGAGCTCATGCAGCTCTGGGAAAACCTGCGTTCACCATGTGTCCTTCACCGTGCCTGTTTCACCACCCCCCCCCCCCCACGTCCCCACATCGCAGACCTTGCTGCTGACTTTCAGGAATGTGCACGAGTGGCCAATTTCTGGAGCTAAACCGCTGAGGAAAATCCTCTTAAAATCCTTTTAGACACCGTGTCGGGAAAAGAAAAGCTGAAGTTTCTCCGAGGCGGGCAGGAGCAACTTGTGTGAGAGGAAGGACAACATTTTCCTGGCTTGTTGCTGGGAGCCGGGAGGGGAATTTTAATACGACATACTGCGTTTAGTAACACTGTGCATCGCAGACACGATGAGATTCAGCTGTCTCACACAGCCTTAGCGAGGGGGGGTGGCTGCCTGGGGGTCTCACTATAAATAAGCGTATACATTATTTTGCAGTGTCAGTGAAGCCGGCAAGCAGTGACATTGTGTCATTTTTACAAAAGACCTTTTAAATCAATTTGTATTACTACGCACACAGCTATGTATATGTATGTATGGGGTGATCTCTCACATTACCATCTTGTTTGATTACAAGCCCTGGGCGACACTGTGGAGCAAGTCTGCTCAAGTTATCTCCAATGTGTCATTTACATTTCCCATATATATCTTTACCACACTTGTAATGCACACACTTTAAAAATCCATTTGAAAAGTTCCCAAAACTAGTTTCCCCTGATTGCTATTTAAATATTGTACTAATTTAACGTTGGAATTGGTTTGTGCCTTGTTTGTCTATTTGCCCTTTGTTTCTCCATCTCCTTTGGGCGACGGACTGAATTAATGTTTATAGACACTGAGATGCCACACATGAAGAAACAGGAGATTGTGCAAAATACTTTCCCAATTATAGCTCGATAAACACACAGGAGACCTCATTTCCAATGCTCATTTCTTTACCCCCCATTTTAGGGGCACAGGAACAATCGTTTACTCGTTTGCTTCCATGCTTTCCAACTGAATAGATCACTGAGCAGATTCTGTTGACTCCCAACTCAAGCTTTTATGTGGCTCCATGAGATTACATGACACCTTCATTCAAAATAAACATTCCCTGTGCCTGCTTGCATATCCCAGCCTCCCCGCCCTTTCACTCCTCCCCCTTAATTAAGCTTTGAATCATCATCCCATAATTCCCGGTGCTCCCGCTGCTGGTATTATTACAGGCTACCATAAGGAATAGCACACACTTGCCAGAAGCGAGTTGGCATTGCTCACCTGTGGGAAATGAGGGCATTTACTCCTGCTGGGAATATGGCTGCTTCTCCTCTCGGGTGCCAACTCGAGAGCCTGTAACGCGGACAGCGCCGCCTGGCGTTTTGCCAGCTTCTTGCTGCGTCCAGAGCCCTCGAATATCCTCCCGTCCACCCTCACGGCCATTACGAAGCTCCTGCTGTGTCTGTTCTGCGCGCTCTCCGAGAGGAAGACGTACCTCAGGCCTGGCCGCAGCTCATTTAACAGCACCACCGGGCTCTTCTCGCCCTCCACAGGGGAGGACATCTTCTGCTTGTTTTGCCCGGCCCGGGCCACTAGGCCCAGCGTGGGGCGAAGTGGTCTCCCGTGCCAGAGGGGTCCGGGGACCGACTCATTTTCTGTGGACCCGCACACCAGCAGGCCGTCAGCGTGGGACGCTGGCTCAAACTCCTTGAACAGCGAGTCCGGAAAGTCGGCCTGATCCGAAGTGAAGTCGGCTGCCGGGTTGCCCCGGTTTCCCATGGCCTGGTGGGCCTGAGGGGCGTTGGGGAACTGGACAAAGGACCTGAGGGCCATCTCTGCTGCCCTCATCTTGGCCTTCTTCTTTGTAGGCCCTGTGCCCTCGAACGTGAGCCCGTTGACCTCCACGGCAATTGAGAACACTGGGGCATGCACGGGTCCGGTCTGGGAGACCATCCGATACTGCAGGCCCGGCCTGAGCTCGTTCAGCTGCACCAGAGCATTCTTTGGAGCGTCGGACCAGCTCAGCCTTTTGTAAAACAGCTGGAGCTTACAAAGGTGGGAGTTATTACCCTCTTCCAGCGGTCGCTTCCTCTTTAGGCCAGAAGTCCCGCCTCTGGAGGCATCGGAACGGAAGATGGACTGGTGATCTCCGGGAAGCAGGGCGCAGTCTTCTAGGTTCCCGATATTTCGGTTTTCCTTCACCTCAGCGCTGCTTGTGCCTGGAAAAGATTGAAGGGAAAAGTGGTTTCCTTTGTGTTCATGTTCCTGAAATATATGGCAGGAAATCACAGCCACAATGATGAAGAATTAAACAAGATCTGCTGATTTACCAAATGCAGAACAATCCAGCAATGTGGACATAAAAATCTGAGCGACATGGGGTGATACAAAGCCATGACAGTAACTCCATTAATCACCATATACAGCTGGGTTCTGGAGTCTTTCTCAAATGTTTTCAGATCCATTTATAAATCCCCCAGATCATGGCATCACCTCCCAAATTATTCTGTAATCTGCAGTGAAATTGGGTGTGATTCTGCGTTTAAAGCAGCCGGTTTGCTTTCAACACGAGAGCGGCACGGATCCCATTGTAATAGGCGGGTAGCTCTGATAGCTGTGGGTGCCTAAAGCCTTTGGAGATAAAGCCGAAGATCAGCTCTTATTTTCCCCACTTTATTCTTTAATAAAAACAGGATGCAGCATTGCTTGTGTGCTGAATGATGCAGCACCCACCGGCTCACTGCCAGCACACTTCCAGGTGCGTTTAACGCACCTTTGTGAGTGCCTACTGTGTTTAAGTTTTTATGTTGCTATGGAAGTTAGTGCTCAGGGCAAAATTTAATAATGTATCTTTTTATCAAAAGATAAAAAATAAATGACTTGTATGAAAAATGAAAAAAGACGATACAGTCTGAAACAAACAGTGAGAAAAGTTCACCCTCTTTTCTCTTTTTACCTACCAAGATCAGTGAAATAGAATGCCTTTATTTCTTGCTGTATAGTGGCTTACCTTACAAACTCAGCCACAAAAGTAATAATACATTAGTAGCTCCAAAGCCTAATTGTTTGACCAAGAATACGACTGCTGCATTTATGGGATTATACGATTATGAAATGATACTGGAAAATTTAAAGAACTTACTCAAATTATCTTCATCCTCTGTGTTTACTGTCCCAGGATTCATGCATTTGAAAGGTGCTATAAATGCGGAAAGCATGCTGACTTTCTCTGAAATCAAACAGAAAAGCAAAATCACTGTATGAAATATCAGCATCTGCCGCGTGTGTGTGACAGGACTGTGCTAAATTCAGGTGTATGAACCTCAGAAGTACGGAATAAAACCAGGGCATTACATTACAGCTGTCTGTCAGCGGCTGGCAAACGGCGCATTAACCGTGAACCTGACTTAGGGCGGTGAATTACCTCCCTGTGCTGAAGCTGCAGCGTTTCTGCGAGGAGCCTGTAACTACATCCGGCCTCCTTTCAGATCTGCTCACTCGCACCTGCCTTGTTTACAGACAACGCTCCCATTAAGGACTTAGCTCGGTCCACAGAGCAGAGAGTGGAATCGACGAGCCGAGAGGCACCTCAATTAGATTCTTCACAGCTGGACATCCTTTAATGATCAATAGTTTTAACGGCCTCACAACAGTGGGAGCAGGGAGTGTGATATCAGAGAGCACTTCACGCATTTCCAGTAGATGGGCAAGACGCTTAGACACTTGACTACAGTCTCAGAAAAAAAAAATTCTGTTTGATATCACTTATTGCTTCCTGAACCCAAGGTTAGATCTGAAGCACTTTCCCCATTTTATGTAGTTAAAAAATAATTAGCATTTCTTAAAAATACCTCAGTTGTGCACATTTTGCTGCACATTAAGCCTTTATTCAAGATTGTGTCGTTCAGTGAATCACAGAGTTCAGAGACGTAAACTTTATTATTTGCATGGGAATATTTATAGTTTACTGCTTTACAATGCTTGCAAAATGCTTTACGGCACAGTTAAGGCTTCCATAAAGTGCTGGAACAGATGAGGACGCTGAATGGTCAAAAAATGCTCCCTACTGCCAGACTGACAGTTTAGCCAGCCAACCAATTTAAAGGCCTCCGTGGGCGATTAATCTGCATTTGGCTCAGTCATAAGGAGCTGCTAATTGCAAAATAGATGTTAATGCTCGAAAAAGTGGCTTAAGTGTTAATTAAGTCATACAGAAATTCGCTCGACTGTGAAAGATAATGGCTATGATCTTGCGGGAAGGTTATCAAAATTAATGTGACTGTAATCCTATATAAACATAAAAAATTAAACTGAAAATTACAAGAGGCCTTTAAATTCACAATTTTTTCTTCCATTTTTTTTTTTGGGTCTACTCATGAAACATCTTCTGAGTTTATCCACACGGATATAGCACAACCCCCCAGACAGGCCCAGTATCAGCAGACACCTTTCTCTGGGTTTTTGGGAATGATGTGTGGCAGAGATGAGCTTGCTTTAGCCGGAAAGGTTTTGCGCATTTCCTGTGTCTGCTTGCGCCCAGGTGTCGGGCCGTGAAACACATAAAGCGATTTAGAAAAGCGTTAACCGGTGATAATGTTGTGATTCACCAGTCCAGCAGTCTTAAAAATCACCGGAACACCAGAGGACTTGGCACCTCCTCTGGACTTCCCCGATTGTGACCACCGCTAACCGAGAATGCACTAAGGAACTGAAATCCAATTATTTCTCCTAACAAGCAGCAGGCAGGATTGTTCCTGAAGACCACTGGGGACTTATGCGCCCTGTACACCTGAGGAGACCCTGATGAAGAGATGGGCAAGATGAATCGTCTCTCCGTCTCTGTGTGACTGGCTGGACAGCTTGTTGAGAGCTTGAGAAGAGTATAACTGCCTCAAACTAACAATCTACATCACAGTCAATGTCTGTCACAGTCTGTTGTTGGGGTACAGAGGAAGTCAGTCCTAGGGGGTTAATATGTAATCATCATCATTATTATTATTAATATTATTACCACTACTAATGTGCCAAGGTTTTCATCCCAGACATGAAAAATGTCATGGATCTGAACTAAAACCAATTAAATTGACCTAGGGGGTATGAATGGAATAACCAAACATGGATTTGAGGCAGATTCCTTCTTTAAAAGTCAGGCTAATTTATGCAATTTAAATTTTAATGGAAATGGATTTTGGACACAGGGATTGCACTGAGCAATAGATTACACTGTCCTCTCACAACACTGTGAGGAAAAAAAGACAAGAAAGTCGTGAAAAAGAACAAATCCTCCAATCCAGCACTCAAACACCAGAATGTGACACGATTATTTGGTAATCAGCTAACATTATGTTGGCTGGGATGCTGATATATATTGTATTTTAAGTTTGTCATAGCAATAGCTACGCAGTGCAAGGGGGTTCTGACTCATTCATCTTCCCCCACAGAAGAAAATGCAACATCCAGGTGAGGTTTTTGGGTCTTAGCGGACAGTTGTGATCCCTTGGGAGAGCTAGGACAGATTATAGAGCGGGGGGGATGAGCCACCTCCTTCCCTCTCTGCAGCCGGAGACGGTAACGAGCCCCATCAGAACAGCCCCATGACTTGACATAACGAACGACCAGAGAGACAAGTGGGACGAGTAAGAAGGCACTGCTCAGCGTCGCTGAAGCGGCAAATGGGAAAGGACTCGTCGTTCCACAGTCGCCTGCGCGAAGGCCAGACACGGCCACCGCTAGGAAGGGCTTGTCTGGTCATGTGACAGGTTAGCAGCATTGGGTCAGACTCTAAGGTCACACAGATCCAGTTTGAGGGTGAGAATGTGTGTGGCCTTAGATTATATATGTGAAAGCTGGGTTTAATTTGTAGAAATAATGGCACTCTGAAGACCTGACAGGCCTACATCTAACGCGTATGACATCTATATAATATACACTGTCTATATATGTATTTGTGCTTGTATATATTTATGTACATACACCCTCTGTCTAGGGTGTGATTACATACTATCAAGTGAACTGTCAGTTGTTGATGTTTTTGTGTTGGAAGCAGGAAAAATGGGCAAACGTAAGAAACTGAGCAACTTTGACAAGGGTCAAATTGTGATGGCTAGATGACTGGGTCAGAGCATCTCCAAAACGGCAGGTCTTGATGGGTGTACCTAGTATGCAGTGGCCCGTACCTACCAAATGTGATCCAAGGAAAGCCAACTGTTGAACCGGTGATGGGGTCATGGATGCCCAAGGCTGATTGATGTGTGTGGGGAATGAAGGTCAGCCATTCTGGTCCAATCCCACAGGAGAGCTACTGTAGCACTAATTTCTGAAAAGGTTAATGCTGGCTATGATAGAAAGGTGTCGGACCTCGCGGTACACCGCAGCTTCCTGCGTATGGGGCTGCATAGCTGCAGAATGATCAGAGCGCCCATGCTGACCCCTGTCCACCACCGAAAGTGCCTACAATGGGCATGTGAGCGTCGCAACTGGACCATGGACCAATGGAACAACATTGCCTGGTCTGATAAGTTACGTTTTCTGTTACATCAGGTGGATGACTGGGAGTGCGTGGTTCACCTGGGGAAGAGATGGTACCAGGATGCACTATGGGAAGAAGGTAAGCTGCCAGAGGCTGTGTGATGCTCTACAAAATATTTTCATTAAGTAAAATTCATTCAAGTCATGTAATTCTGGTTTCATCGTGTCGTTCCATTCAAGCTGTCTTGCCATAACTCCCCTCACCTTGGGGAATATTCCGTCTTATGTTGGCAGGAACACTCAGCCGTTCGCCCCACATTACAGCCCCATTCATATTTAAAACATGGACACATTGCACACCATACACCCTGACATACCACCTTGCTAAAATTGCTTCGTTGACATGGTCTAATGGATAATTCAGGCAGTGGTTTTTAAATTTCCTATAGTATTCTGCACACTATAAACATCGGGAGAGGTGGGGAGGTCATAGTATTTGACTCTGCTCCAATGGATATTGAAATGTGTTTCTGTTGGATGTAATGATTCACCTGAAGTAAAACATTATGTTCAGAGGACACATGAAATTCCATACTTATAGGACTCATCTTTTGACTGGCATGTCGTAAGTGGGTTTCTTGGCGGACAGGACCGAGGGTTAAAAAAAAACCAGGCCATTTGATTTCCTGCACCTGGCGGATGACCTAGATGACCATCTGCTTTGCACGTGCTGTCTTCACCTTTGCCAAGGACAGCAGTTAAGAAGGGTGAAGAAAAGAATTTGGGTAGATGTCCTCATTCAACTCGGGCTCCATCAGCAGAGAAGTCCAAGGGATTACAGAGACCAAACACATGTTAATGAAAAAAATAAGTCAAAGAAGTAAAAATTAGGGAACAGCAGGTATGAAATATCATATAATTGAAACAAAGTTTGACCTACGTGGATACATGTTTGTCTGGATGGGAGCATGTGAGCCCAGTAAATACCACCACGATTATTGAGAAGAGTTCCCTTGTTATTTCTTCTTCTGCCAAGAAGGGGGGATACTCCTGAGAAGTGCTGCAATAAGGTGAAGAGCATTTAAGAGTGTTTGTACTTTGTCCCGAGAAGCAACTCTTCATTTGTGACAAGAAGTTAGAAACAGAGGTGTGCAAGGGAAAGGTTTACTGCTCAAAGAGGCAGGTTTCAATGCAGAAACACTGCCTGAAAATCAACAAAATAAATAATTGTATACACGATCAATGGGATCCAAGAGAGATTGTCATGGAGATTTCAGCTGTACATCCTGAGACCAATGGAATGCCAACATGCCAACATTTCTGAAAGATCTGCAGGGATCTATATTTCAGATTTCAAAGCATCAGTTGAGGACACGTGTCAAAGTAAAGATGTGATTTTTGGGTCTATCTTGGGGCCACAAAAGTGAACTCTGCTAAAAATGTTATTGTTAATTAATTCTGCTGATGTTTCTTCAAGCCAGTGACGCGCACATTCAAAGAAGGGGCAGCCTCTACATGATAAAGCTTTCTACTGAGAATGTGCAGAGCTTATAATGGCATCTAACACGGACTGGATCCCTTTGTTTTGTTCATGACATGCTCATATTGGTTTAAGCTGGGTCATCCACCCAAGAGAGGTGAACATAAGATATGAAGACATCTCTCCCTCCATTACAGTCTGATCCTACAGAACATCATTTCCTACCACTAATTATGATTTGCCTTACCTTTAGCCAAAATAAGCATATTAACATGTTCACA